ATCTGTCAACCCTAAAATAATTTTTGCTATATTATCAACTCTGGTTTTTTTATATTGCCTTTCTCTATCTGCCATTTTAATTCAGCACATATTAATATAAGGAAGGAAGAAAGAAGAGATTTGATTAATTTAATTTTTAGACGTAAAAAGTGCTGCAGGTTTTTATTTATTTTAATTTTTATTTGCATATGAATAAAACATAAATAAGAAGTGCAAGTGGCTTTAAATGTATTAAAAAACGACATATTTTGTTGATTCCATTCGAAATAAAAATGTTGCTGTTGTAATAATTTTTTATCGTCTTGCAATTGTTTTCAACATCTACACAAATAAATGCGTTCCTCATAAATGTTTATATTGAATTTGTACTAAAAGAAAACAAATATATATAGTTCAAAGAATAAATAAATAAAAAATATATATACATATAATATAAAAGATTAAAAAAAAAGCAGTTTCGTACAATAGCGGTAAAATAAAAAAATTACTTAACTGTGAAATTGAAAGAAGTGAGCAATTGTTTATTACATTGAAATTTGGTTATGATGACTTCGACGACAACAAACAATACCAACGCTGGAGGAGGAGCTGGTGTAGGCGTCATCAATGACAGCAATGCCTCCAGTGATAGCAACAGTAATGGAAATAGCAATATAAATAGCATTGAAGCGGAATATAACAGTATTCCTGATCGTAATGGTTGGCACCGATTTTATCTGGTAAGTCCTATATTCTTATACTCCTATTTAGAAGTTTACTCATATATATATATATAAATATAACGTAATAGAATAAGTTCTTATACATTCACATAAAATAATAAATTAAATTTAATTGCTTAGGTGAAAATTGCAGTGTAATTTACCACCCCACAAAAAATAGTTTAATGTTCCAAAACAAAATTATTTTTCACAAATTTTTTTTTTTTGCCACAATATATTTTTCTTTTCATTGATTATAGTGGTTTCTTAGAATTCTTCTCCTTGGATTGGTTTCTCTCTTACTCTGGTCTCTGGTCTCTGGTATTGTTTTTTAGTTTTTATTTGAATAACGAAAATAAAATGAAAAATAAAAGAAAAAGTTAGCGTTCGCAACGAAATCAAATTGTTCCTTGCTAGGCACGAAGATATACATTTCCACGAAAATCCGATGAGTGCACAAGGCATCAACATTGGTAGACACAAACGCAAACGTTGGGTATGTTGTTTTAGCCTCTGCCTCTGCTGTCGTTGTCGTTTTCGCCGCTGCTGTTACTGTTACTGTTGGTGCTGCGGCTGCTGCTGCTGCTGCTGCAGCTAGCGCTGCCAATACAAACATTTTCGTAAACAACAACTATATAAACTACAAACGTTTTTGTCCGTGTTCTCTGCGTTGATTGTATGGCTTGTATCTGCAAACAAGCTGTTCTGAACTTGTTGGTGTTTATTTTTATTTGTTGTTGCTGTTACTACTACTACTGTTGTTGCTGTTGTTGTTGTTTTTTCCTTTTAAGTTCAATTTTTCAAGAATTAGCCGAAAGTGTTTGACTGCATGTTGCATGAAGAAGTGGATTATAATTTAACTATTCGTACAAATTGAAATATCGAAATTGTTCCTTTCGGCCTTAAATTGGCGTAACTAAAAATGAGTCCGAATATGAGAGACTGAGTTTTTATTTCTTAAAATTATTTATTAATTCTTTAGTAATTTTTTTTAAATATTCTTTCATTAATTTATTACTTCCAACTGCATATTTTACTACAATGCTTCCGAAATAATTGACTGCTGTTTTACAGCGAAAGATATATTTATCATCCTAACTATTCGGTTTCTATAAGGTAAAATTAACTATTACCAATTTTCTCATTAAGCCTTAAACGTTCTTTAATAATAATATTAATTATATATTTTCCTGTTCAATGACGTTTCTGACTAACTATTCTAGGTAAAGTGTTTTTTTTGTTCTAATCTCAGATGAATACATTCGCAATTTATTTTAATTAACATTATTTAATTTGAACCTATAATTTAATATTAACTGTATATTCTTGTCACTTCGACTTGGAAACAGTAACAAAACTAATAACATATATTAAAAGAAAATATTTGTGTTATAATCATAACACTTAAATATGGTGTCTTATAAAGAATTTAAAAAAGAAAATATTTGGTAATTCTGACAGTTCACGCAGTAAATTTTCTCATATAGAAACTTATCATCCACTACAGAACTATACTGACACCATTGAGGTTTTTGTCAGATGTCGGACTAGAAAGTTACTTTATTTTGCATACACTCATTTATTTTTGTATATATAAATCGAATCTCTGCTTCACATAGTGTCGGCCTTCTATTATGGTGTAAACCTTTTATCATGAGTTATAAACGGTACTTTTAGTTGTCGGTATTTATAAGTATTTTCGAACACAAACCTATACACTTTTAAAACCCTATTCCAAAAACTGCTAACTTATTTAATTATCGCTTTGCGAACGCAAACTTTAGGTTGTTTAAGTTATAAATTCGGTACATTAAAGTGAAAAGATTTCTGGACCTACATCTAAAATAAATATTTCTTTTTTCTTTACTTTACAAATTCTCCATAGAATCGTATAGAGTCTCTAAAGAAAAGAAAAAATTTTTCCGGCTGTATCTAAAGTTTTGAATAGATGGTAATCTATCTCTAGAACTTGGTTTATATTATATAAAGGTTTCGCAAAATTGTTTTTTTTTATAAATTTTAGGTGATTTCTTTAAAAAAAAATTTTATAATAAAATTTGATCAAGTTTGTTGTTTTTTATATATCAGTACGTTATCATATAAAGTATAGTAAGTTTGATAAAGTACAGCTGCTGAACAACAACAAATTATATTTTGTTATTATGTCACTATCCTTTACTGGAATACACTGCATCACTATTACTGAATAATTTTCTACGTTTTTAGTAAAAAATATACGAGTACTAAAAACTTTAGTCTATAGAATTGATTGCAGGAACTGGGTGAAAGTTAGATGAAATATTCTTTAGCAAAAAGTATTTGTGAGAAAATAATTTATTGATGTATGAGAAATTAAAAAATATTTTAGATAAATTAGTTTTCTTTTTCAAATATCATGGAAATTTCTCCAAATTTATTGAAATTAGTATTGAACATATATAGGTATATATAATATAATAAGTAATAGACGCCAAATGAAATAATATTTGGCAACTTAAAGTTATTGTATAAACCGGATTTAACATATTGGGGATTTTTTGAATAAAGGTTTTTTTCAGATAGAAGTTTCTTCAGCACTGTATCTTGGGTACATATAAGAAAAGTGATTAACAGATAGTGAAATATGTATTAAATGCTATCTAATCTAAAGTAAAATGCATATTTCTCAAAATATGCAAATTTTTGAATATTAGAAATAATTTATATGTAGTCTAAAATGACTATTATCGAGGTCGCAATGAACAAATGAAAAACAGAGCTTGTAATTTTCATATAATTGTGATTCATAATAAAAACGTTTTAGATTATTTTGATACACAAAGTAACACTTCATTAAATAATTATCAATTAACGAAGAATTCATGAGCGACAAAATATCTAGATCTTTTACTTTTATTTATCAGTTTATAAAACAATTCTTATTTAAACTTATATATTGACTAAAATATTAATAAATCTAAATAGACAAAGTGCTAAAAGTGCTTTTTTATTAAGTGAAGTGTTCAGTAT